TGGCTGCTTTCTTTGCTTCTTCCTCGATGATCAGCTTCCTATCTTGGGGTCCTAACATCTTCCACAGCTCTGAGTCGATCCCCTCCGGACGCTTTGAACCTTTGTAGTTACGTACAATCCGGTGACCATCCCAATGATGTCCATCTGGAATAATTTCACCTTTGGGGGTCAATTTGAGATCTGGAAATACGGGCGCTTCGGGTGCATCAGGCTCGACATCGCTGTCGGCCGGTAGAGGCGTACCTGGCTCGTATTCATACTCATCTTGCGGTGGATGCAAACTGGACTCAAGAGGCACAGCTTTGGGTGTCTGCGGAATGACCTGGTCCTCGAGGCGATCGGCTTTGGGTGCTTTCGAGTCGATCAGAGCTTTCAAAGGAAAGATGAAACCCTCGGATGGCAATTCCAACCTCTTTGTTCTTTGGATTGTCAGTGCACCCCAGTTGACATGATAATCTGCGGCTTCCAACTTGGCAACTAAGTATTCACCCTTCCAATCATGACCTGGTTGGATGTAATACCCAAGGAAAATTCCTTCATTTGCTGTTGGGGAGAGCTTACCTGACGTGTTATCCAACCTCTTGGGGTTATTCCAGAACAACACTTTGGCACCAAATGGAATGTGCATTGCAGGGAACTCTTCACCAAACCTGAGTTGCCATGGGGAATCACTGCCGTCAAGCTGGGGGCTTGCATTGATCGCGGTCGCATGATGCTGCATGGCCAATGGCCACATCTTCAAAGGAAATCCTGATTGCAACAAGTTGCTCCGGGCACCTTCCAACATCTGACGAACTTCGCGCTCAGCAAAAGACTTTGATGAATCTACGTATTCAATGGAAGTCTGGTGTCTGTAACCCAAATCCTTGATGGCCCTGATCAATTCTGGGGAATTGTCAGTGTACACAACTTGAACATCATCCTTTGATCCAATGAAGTGATTCAGACCATCAACACAGCTTTGTGAGTCCTTGGACTGGCTAGGGTAGACATACCGATATTGGGTGTGCAGATCTTTCAACACCAACGCAACTTGCTCCCCCCCTGAAACCCTCTTCTACATTTTTCTTAATGATGACGTGATCCCCAATGATGTGGTCACCAAACACTTCAGTTTCGATTCTCTTCTGACCACCCTTCTTTCGTGCCTGAGGTGCCATCATCCTTGCTCGTTGGCAGGTTCTGCAAAAGGGGTTCTTGGGGAAATGCGTGTATTGATGTTGGGTACTTGCAGCTTCAGCCAACAGATCCTCAGTCTTGCGGCTTCGGATGTACTCCTGCTGAGCGTCATCCTCCACCAGCTCATCCAACTGCTCTTCATCTTGGGCTTCGTCCCGCTTGGCTTTTGAGCTCGACCGTGAGGTCGGCATTGCAAACAACTTTTTGAGGTGCTTGTCCTTTTGAAATTGATCTTTGGGATAAACCTTGCAACTATCATCCAAGATTGGGACATGACCTTCGATCTTGAGCTGGACGACCTTGTCATCTGGACGGACTAGGATTGGTTTGCCATTGGCAGGCCATACGAAACTGTAACCCTGATCTACGCATCTCGTTCCTACAGAGAGCACAGCTGGGGTATGATCAAGCACATACGGATGCACGGGATCTGGCAATGCGGACAACTTGACATCAGCAACTTCGTTTGCCTCGGTCGAACCATTGGCTGTGACTAAGGAAATCGGATGCTCGGCTGCACGGCAGTTCTTGGCACTTACATCCCTCAGCATCCCTTTGGACACAAGATCGGATTCACTACCTGAGTCAACAAGCCAACTAACGCCGGCCTTTGGCGCAGCTGTGGCAATTGACGGGAAACGACCAATGTCTCTAAGGGCTTTGGGACCGCTGATGAACCTGCATTCTTTGCATGTGACGTCACGTGTGTCCTCATTCCAACAACAAAACCCACAACTTGGTGCAACATCTGAATCATGAAGTTTCACAGTTTCTTGAAGCTGTCTTGCACGAACTTGAGCTTCATGCTGTTCAACCTTTGATGAAACTGGAACATCTTCAGCTGTCTTGTACACCTTAGTGAACTCTCTTGGACGATGCTTGACTGGGACTTGACGACCAACTGCCTTCACCTCGATCACATGTGGGGCCTTTCGGAATCTAAGACGCTTCATGCTGACACTTGCCTCATCAGAGCACGAAGTTGCCTTCGGCTGCTTTCGGACGATGCATGCGAACTTCTGGATCAGACATGGAGCGGCTGTGGAATCCTTGCCCTTCTTCTTGGGAGCGGGTGAATTGGCCCTTTTGGTGTCTTTGGTGGCGGCAGCGGCTTTGTCATCATGTTTATAAAAACATTTGTCGCCACGTCTGCACTTTCCCTGGGCATGATAGATGCATGGGGTTTTGGCCATTTCTTCTTTGGACATCTTCTTCCCCTTATCATCCTTATTGCCCCTTGATGGTGAACGTGTTTTGGTTCTTCTGGGTGATTGAGTTCGAGATTTATCATCTTTGACATGCTTGAATGGACACTTCTTCCCCTTATCACAGGTACCCTTTTGGAACTTATAGCAAATCTTTTCGCCTTTGCCACCTCGTTCCTGCGATCTACCGCGACTTGGAGAGCCCTTTCGGCCGCCGCGACCATCGCCTTTGGCGGGTGCGGCCTTTGTGTCCTTAATCCCAGCCTTGTTCTTCTCCGCAATGCGGTTCCTGTTCTCCCTCAATCGTTCACGATCGATCAAGTTCTTCATGGATTGGTGAAGAAAACTGTAAGACTTTTCATGGGATTTCTCATGGGCACGGTCAAACACCTCGATGTCATATTTCAGCAACTGACTTGGTCGGATCTGCCTCAACAAGATGTCCCTTAACACAACATCATCAGGGGTGACAGCCATGCCAGCTAGGGTAGCATCCCATTTGTTGATGAATCTTCGGAGATCCTGGACAGTATCGCCTACTTTGACAACACCCAAAAGATCTTCTACTCTGTAAAGGCTACCTGCTTCTTCTGATGTCTTGAAGTAGTCCTCAAACATAAGCAGAACATATCTTCCCCTGACCTGGATGCCTTTTCGGGATTGCTGCTCCTTGAAATTCAAGATCCTAGTTGCGAGGTCCCCTCCGGCTGAGCGCGTGAGCGCTGCTGATAACTTTGTATCCAGCGTGAGGAACTTTCCAGGATCTTGGAGTTTCTTCTCCAACTGCTCTCTGGTGCACTCTTGATCGTACACCTCGTTAAGCCAGAGCCACGCCTCATCCGGGCGATCTGAGCAGCTTTTCACTTCATCCCTGACATGATTCTTCCAAGTTCTATATGACTCCGGAGCGGGCATGTTGTTCAGCTTGATGAGTTCAGCCTCCTTAGTTTTTGGCTTATCCTTTTCTTCCCTTTGGGTTAAGGCTTTCACCAATTCAATAAGATCTGAGGGACCCATAACTTGCTGTTGCTTGGTTGCGCTCTTAGGAGATTCATTTGGGGGAGTTTTGATAGCTTCAGTGGGAGTGAAAAACCCTGACTGCGTTGGCAATTGGGGCTGGTCGTTGCCGACAGCCGGCTTTTGCTTGGGACTGCCACCTTTGAGCAGCTCATCCAACTTGGCCTTTGCTTCCTGTGCCAACACTGCAGGCGTCTTCAACTCAAGAATCGGCTCATCACTGCCTCTGGCGGCCTGTGCATCGGATGCTTTGGGAGTGGCAATATTGAAGTGGGGCACGCTAGTGGTAGCGGCCGGCTCGGCGTTCTGGACGGATGCTTTCGGAACGGAGGCATGCTGCGCTTTGGCAACATGCTTTAACTGCTCCTGAAGATCATCGATTTGGTCCTGAAGGCTAAGGTTCTGAGCCGCTGCCTCGTTGATCTTGTCGGCCATCTCCTTCTTGTAGTTCTCAAACTCAGTCCTCAAACTGATGAACCTGGCCTGATCAATTGCAGCCTGATCTTCATATTGCTTCTTTGTGGCAGCTATGGCATTCTTTGCATGTTCAACTGTCTGTGCATAGGAAGCTTCGAATTCACTAGTGATACGTTTCCTTTCCTCTGCAATTTTCTGATCATGCTTTGTGTTTGCCTCTGCCTTTACATCTTCTATTCTTTTGTCATGCGATGCCTGAGCCTGATTCAACCTGACCTCCATCTCGTCGCCTCGTTTCCTCTCCTCGTTGAGGGCACTAATGGCATTACCTTCAACCTCCTGCAGCCTTTGCTCATACTCCTGCTCCTGCATTACGAGTCTACTTGACCATTCGTTTCGAATTGAGTCAACTACTCCATGCATTATCTGAAGGTGCCTCTGTTCAGCTTCCCTCATGACTTGCAGGGTATTCCCACTAGTAATCTGGGACAGGTTGTTTTGTATGAAGGTAAAGTACGCAACAACGGGTTGGAACATTGTTTCGTCATCCATCGGCTCGGGGTTGCCCCCGGCCATATTAGGCACAGCGACAGCCGATGGACCTGACCCTGGAACGGCGAGAGGATGGTCAATTGGGGTCCCCATAGCAAAGTAGTGAGACTACGGCTGATAACCTGTATTTTACAAGGTCAGCCACCAATGTACTAACAATGGGGGTAGAACCGTTCAGCACTCAGCTCTTTTGAACCAACGCTATCGGGCAGATCGATGATATATATACAATACATGGTTTTACTGCAGGAGTTTTTACAGGTTTTGATGGATGATGATGGATGATCAACGCTCTTCACTGCAGCGGGTGGGGGTGTAGCTTTGCAATAGCAAGGTGGGCGGATGTTTGCAATACATGAGTCCCCTCTCTGGGAATCAAACATAGCAGTGGGACATCTCCTATAGATGCAGGTTTTGATTTTGATGAGAAAATGATGTATAAATGGGGGACATTGTATTGCCATGTTTGATTAATTACCAGAGGGTAGCAATATGAATCTATATCTGAAACAACTCGGCAATTGAAGTTGAAGAATATGTTGGTCCATGAGGTCGCGCTAAATCGTCTAAATCGCAGCTCAAAAAAACACTGTAGCAAACTTTAAGCAGGACGTGTAAACACCAAGTCACTTCCAAGGCAGAAATGCTTGCGACGAAAGATTTTTCCAGGTCTGGTGTCAACTTTCCCGCGTGACAGACTTCCAATGTCAATCCTTTCACCACCTGCTGCTTGATCTGGTAGCTGAAACTGCCTCAAATCGGATCGCATCCCCAGTACTTGAGATTGGATTGAGATGAACTGACGCCTTGATCTCCAAAATTCTGTGATCTTACCATTTTCGATGACTTCCGACTATCATCAAATCTTTACCGTCTTTACCCGTAAAGCCTCCCTCCAGATGGATCCTGGCCCATGCACACCGGTTGGTTGCCTGGATGGTCAAAACCACCCATCTCTCTCTTTCCAGATTTCTGATCCAACATCAGCATCCCCAGCACGGGTAACTTGGCCTTGCCGCTCTGGACCAATGTTTTGCCAACATTTTGTTTGCCAATATAGCTTATTATAACTTATAACGGATATAAATGGTGTATGACTTTGGGATAAAAACCATAGAACTTGTAACCAATCATTTTTTGACACAGAAGGAGATCTTGGATGCTGGGAATGTTTGGGACAATTTGCCCCCTCGACAACACGTTGCTTTGGTAGCCTGGTTTGGTGAGCTTGGATTCCGGATGGTTCCAAACCTATCAACCATGTTTGACATATAAAGCAGTGAAGAGGCGCGTTGTTGCACACTGTTCATTATATGGCCCGGATATTTGGGCCCAAAGCCTTGCAAGTTTCCACCGCTTGTGAACATCATGGATCAAAGCTGAGATACCCCTGAATTGGATATCGAACATGCTTGATTTCCGAATCTGAATTTTTGATCCGCAGCCATTCCTCTGAATTTGCCGAGAAATGCGGTATACCGGTATACCCTCAAATTGCAATTTGAACATGTAGGGCGCCCTATTTTGGACCGACCAATCTGAGCAGTGATTGGTTGATGGGGATTTCCAGTTTATGGATGTTTATGGACTATAGTAATCTCGAATATACCAGGTAATATGATCCCCTACAAATCCTATAATCACAGCATGGCTTAAGATTTTTGACCTCCATTTGCTGTGGGCCACCTAAGAATGATTCTCCCACTTCGATGTTAGGTGCTTCATGGGGATTTCTCAGCTGGCGAATCTCCAGTTGGTAGTATGCCTGTCCTTTTTGATCCATGGGTCTATGGTGATCTCCAGTGGCTGATCAACTAATTTGATCAACAACCCACATCTTTGGCATCTTCGGCATCGCCTTGTTCTCCTTCACGAAGATCTCATAGGATGCGAAAGTCTCCGCCAGACCCTGCGGCAACGAGGCCAAGTTGGTTGCCGCACTGCTTGTAGTGCAGCCCATGGCGTCAGTTTCCGATGGTGTCGACCTTTTGTGGTGCCACTTGGGATGGGTTCAACCCTACCATGAGATGATGGGAAATGGAAGTGGAATCCTTCAGCTGGGAGCCAAAAATCAAAGGAATAATCAAATACATCCACTGGGTGCAGCTCAAAACCTGCCTCAGAGTTAGATTCGCAAGTCTGGATCCGGATGGTGGTTTCACTTCATCCCCCAAACAATGCTGGTGAATTTGGATATATTGATTGGGAATATATGTATATATATATAAATATTGCAATAGTTGACACCACCAGTCGAACCAGTGATGCTTTTGACCAGGGCCAAAAAAACACCCGGCCTTTTAGGGCGGGCTCGGGAGCAGATCATTTTTACATATATTGAGAAAATGGCCCGCGAAAAAAGGGCGCACTGCACATGTAAAGTCGGGATATAGGAACCCCTTTCACAGGCTCGGCAAAACTTGCTCAGCAATTTGCCGCACCCGGGTCCCGGACTTCCAATGTGTGGTGCAAAAAGACGACTAAAAAAATACGTCGCTCGAGAGGTAACAGAAGGGCATGCGATCTCTAATTTTATTTCACTTTTTCCACCTACAGTCCCTCTTGCATAAGGATCTCTTCCTGCTGCGTACGCGTAGATTGCATCTGGTTCAACATTGCGATGAACCGATCATGTGAACCTCAAGTGGATTTCAGATCAGAAAGGTGATCAAAATCAGGACAGGTTCAATTATTCTCAGATTTCAGGGGTCCAGTCTTTTTTTTGAGAGTATTAATCAATCGGGATTCTCGTCGCTAAAAATGGTTGAGCATATTTGAGGCCACCAACCAACAATCAGGTTTAGCAGGGATAAACCCAACCAACCAAACTAATTTCTCAGTCAGTAAGTACTGCAATCTTCATTGGATGATATCCAATTCTTGATGCTTGATATTATACTTGAGAATACACATAGAATAACATATGATACTTATGGAAGAACTCACTACAACTGGGGTGCATTTAAGATAATCAAATAATAAACATGTTTTTTCATCAATTTTGGTGATGTGATAAATAACTCCCTAGATTATCGCAGCTATATATTCTGAACTTGATATTTTCAGAACCTTCTGAATCTTAAAATTTGACTGCTCCTAATTTGAGGGGTGGTCTATGCAGGGTGGTCCAGGGCTGGTGGCCAAATCCTGGCGCCCTGCAGCGGCCAAAACCAAACCAAGTGGCATTGTTTGAATAGATCTTTGGAAATTCCGAACTATGGAGTCCCGTTAGCTTTTCCTGATTTTTCCTTCATAATGGAAAAACATGGGGACTGCCCCACGGAGGCTTCAATTGATGATTCGGATTCTTTCCAAGGCTTTGAAAATATGTTTTTCCGTGTTCCTGGGTGGGCCCAATAGGTGATAGGAACTATTGGCAGGGGGCAAGACCTTTGATACTGTAAGGGCTGCTGGACTGATGTAAGCAAAAATAGTGAAAATTCAAAAGTTTACAAATCAGTCTAAGTGCATTTAAGATAATCACTGATGTAAGGAGGGGGTCTGGGAGACCCTCTCACTACATCAGCCGGGGGCACTCCGGAGTGATGTAAGCCTACCCTTGACTATCTTAAATGCGTAGGGGAAAAAATCATTTAGGCTTAGAGCAGTCAAAACAACTGCCTCCAATGAACTGTTAGGTAGTGCTTAGAGCACTCGGGAGCGCTCCGGAGTGATGTAAGAAGAGGGTATCCCAGACCACCTCCTTACATCAGTGACTATCTCAAATGCACTGGTTCAAAACCATACAACATTTGAATTTTCCCTTTTTCCTGAATGCGTAGCAAGGGTTCCCGTTTCACTCTGGGGGTCTGCATGGGGGTTGAGGGTGTGTTCGCTCGACGTTGCGCAGCCGTCCGCAACCGTCCCCAACCGTCCGCGTGAGGGCCGTATGGCCGTGCCTATGGTAAGTTCTGCAATTGGAGGTTTCAAACGTCGCGTTGCTTCGTTTCGCGTGGCAGGCGTGGCACTTCGTGACATTCAGACGCGTTTCGTAACGTGTGGAAAATCTTTTTTGTGTGGCAGGCAATGCTTTTGCGAAGTTTTCAGAAGATGCGTTGCATTTTTCGTGGCAGGCGCAGCACTTTGGAGACCATCATCGTCATTTTGCGTGGCAGGCGCAGCACTGTAGACTGTAGACGTGTCTTGTGGCTCGTTTTTGCGGGTGACAAGGTGCCAATTCCGTGGCAGGCGTGGCATTTTGTGAGGTGTGCTGAAAATTGACGCAAGCCTCGCACGAAACATCGATTTTCATGTTGCAAATTTTAAAGGAAAACGTGGGAAACCATCGATTTTGAAGCTACAAAGTGTCAAAATTGGAGGACGTCTCGTCTCGTCTCGAGTCTCTGGTTTTCCTCTGGCTTCGCCGCGTCTATGGGAAAAGCTGCAAAACCTATCCCTTTTGAAGGTATCAAATCAAGTTGTCATGCTGTTTCGCGTGGCATTCTCACGTGTCTGCAAACGAGTCGAAAGTCGTTTTGTGTGACAGGCGCAACACTTTTGCGTCATGAGCCAGAAAATGAGACCTGGTTTTCGTGGCAAGCGCAGCACTTTGGAGACCATCATCGTCATTTTGAGAGGCAGGTGCAGCACTTCAGACGTGTCGCGTTCCGTGCTCTACACTCCACACTCCAAACTCTACACTTTACACCCCACACTTCACACTTTACACTTTACACTCCACACTTTACACCCCAAACTCTACACTCTACACTCTATACTCCACACTCTACACTTTACACTCCACACTTTACACTTCACATTTTATACTTTACACTCCTCACTCTACACTTTGCACTCCACACTCCTCACTTTCCACCCCACACTCTACATTCTACACTCCATACTCTACACTTTACACTCTACACTTTACACTCCACACTTTACACTCCATACTTTACACTCTACACTTTTTAAACTCTACACCTTACACTCCACACTCTACACTCCACACTTTACTCTCCGCACTCCACACTCTACACTTTACACTCCACACTTTACACTCTACACTATACACTCCACACTTTACACCCCGCACTTTACAATTTACACTTTACACTCCACACACTACACACCACACTCCACACTTCATAATCTACACTTTACACTCCACACTCCACACTTTACAATCCGCACTTTACACTTTACACTTTACACTCCACACTTCACACTTTACCCTCCACACTTTACACTTTACACTTTGCACTTTACACTCCACACTCTGCACTTTACACTCCGCACTCCACACTTTACACTCCACACTTTACACTCCACACTTTACACTCCATCGCCCTTCCTTTGGAACTTGGTGAAGTCTCTGAAGAAGCTGGTTGCTAGCTGGGAAAGCTGATCCGCTTTCCATTTTCCAAGTTTGGGTTGTGATGCAGGATGGCACGTCCTCAAGCATGCAAGCCTGTTTTGGGGTTTCCTGATCAAACACGAAGTTGTGAAATCAGGTTTGGTGATAAAATGGGTTGGAGCCAGAACATGCTCACTTACTAGCTGTAGAACATGCGCGTACATCGCACATGAACGGCTGCAACAGAGTGGCTTGGGTCAAAAAATCTCCAACTATGACACCTTTCGATTTGAGATTTGGACTCCCTTTTTTAGACCATGTTCCTACCTTTTTGGGACGGTACTGGCCCAAAAAAATCAAGCATCAAGCCCCACATGCCAGGCCATCCAAACATGAAGGTCCTTGAGCAGTTAGCACGTCTGGTGGGCAATGGCGTGGGGTCCTCAATGCTCGACCGCCAGCTTGGGTCAAGAAGGGTGCGGGCAGCAACCATTGCATCGTATCCACTAATGGGTACTTGCATTTCCAATATGTTTGGCTTGCAAGGTTCTTGAAGTCACTACTCAACGGAAGTCAGCTCTAACTATGACCCCAGAAACAAGACACAAGCAAAGGTAAACAACATTGAACTTATGATGATCCAATTACCGGGAAGAAGCGTACTGCCGGACTACATAATGATGAAGATGCCCAACCCACCAAGTTCCATAGCTGCACTTTCAGGCCCAGTCAATTCAGTTATGATTATGCAGTCCTTCTTCTGACCTTCACTCATGTGATCTTGCGTCGTATCACTTTTGGTATGTAGGGTCTCAATTCCAACCAAGGAAAGTGAATACTTCAGTGGCAAGTCACAATTTTGCCCCTCCTGCGGTTCTACCTGAACCAGCTGTTGGAAAATCCAATGATGATGCTACCTTTGATGCATATGGTGACTACTTCACACGTGGAAATCCGGTTGGTGAAAGTTCTTCACTCTTTCAGCCACCCTCCTCTCCTCCAAACACGGTGACGCCAGAAGCAGCTTGTCATGGCACATGTTGAAGTAGACAACCTGAATGTTTTAGTGTTGAATCCTAGATCTGGCATTTTACACTCTACAGGCTGGTTGCATCTAAGGAATTGGAATTACTTTACTTCGTGTGATCCCCACCATGACATTTATACATTTTCTTACTGGCAAATCTTCTGGCATTCTATCTGACATATCTTCTGACATTCTATTTGGCATTCTATCTGGCATATCTTCTGGCATATGACCTGGCATATCTTCTGGCATTCTATCTGGCAAATCTTCTGGCATTCTATCTGGCATATCTTCTGGCACTCTATCTGACATATCTTCTGGCATTCAATCTGGCATTCTATCTGGCATATCTTCTGGCATATATTCTGACATATCTTCTGGCATTCTATCTGACATATCTTCTGGCATAAAATCTGACATATCTTCTGGCATATCTTCCTGGATATCTATCTGGCCATATCTTCTGGCATATCTGGCATTCTATCTTGGCAAATCTTTCTGGCATATTTCTATCTGGCATTATCTTCTGGCATATTATCTGGCATGTCTATCTGGCATATCTTCTGGCATATATTCTGACCATATCGTTCTTGCATTCTATCTGGGCCATTTCAATCTGGCATTCTATCTGGCATATCTTCTGGCATATATTCTGACATATCTTCTGGCATTCTATCTGACATATCTTCTGGCATATTTTCTGACATATCTTCTGGCATATCTTCTGGCATATCTATCTGGCATATTTTCTGGCATTCTATCTGGCAAATCTTCTGGCATTCTATCTGGCATATCTTCTGGCATATTATCTGGCATTCTATCTGGCATATCTTCTGGCATATATTTTGACATATCTTCTGGCATTCTATCTGGCATTCTATTTGGCATTCTATCTGGCATATCTTCTGGCATATCTTCTGACATTCTTTCTGACATTCTTTCTAACTTTCTTTTGCACATTCTTTGTCCCATATCTCCTACATGAGGTCCGGCAGGGAACACTTGGCGTGGATACTCGCGGTTGAGGTCCGGCAGGAAACACTGGGCGTGGATGGTCGTGGTTGAGGTCGGCAGGGAACACTTGGCGTGGATACTCGCGGTTGAGGTCCGGCAGGAAACACTGGGCGTGGATGGTCGTGGTTGAGGTCCGGCAGGGAACACTGTGGATCGCGCGGTCGCAGTTGGGCCGAGGGACGACGAGGACGACGAGGACGACAAGGACGACAAGGATGACAAGGAGGACGAGGAGGACGAGGAGGAGAGGAGGAGGAGGACGAGGCAGGAGGCAGGAGGAGGCAGGAGGAGGCAACTGACAT